AGTTTATTTTATCAGAGATTAGTACTGCCTCCTGCTCGTTTTTTATTCCAGTTAACTTGGCATATTTTTTTTTTTTACCATCCTTTGACTTTTAATCTGTTTTTGTCTTTGTATGTGAGATGTGTCTCTTGCAGATAGCATATTGAAGGATCTTGTTTTCTTATCCATTCTGCCACCCTCCGTCTCTTAACAGGTGTATCTAATCCGTTTACATTCAGTGTAATTATTGATAGGTATGGATTTATTGCTGCCATTATTGTGTGTGTGTGTGGTCTAACTGCTTTCTTTGTTCTGTGTGTTTTCCTTTGTTGAGTTCATGCTTATTATGTTCTTTCTTGTGAGTTTCCTCATAGTTTTAATGTTCTTCTTGGATTTTCATTTTGCTTGTTACATTGTGAAGTGTTAATTTTCTCTGAGGTTGCCTTATAGTTCATTAACTTTTCTCTCCATTTAATGCAATCTATTTTATCCTGTAGTCTACCTGATCTCACCATCTCGATCTCTGTTCCATGTGTATACCTTCTTTTGCATTGTAATTGTTTTGATCATTGACTGTCCTCCCAGATTCTCTGAGTTTGTACTTACAGTTTTTTTCTTTTCTCGATTCTTCCTTCTTTTGATTTAATTCTGGGAGTTGCTGCCACGTATATCAATCTCTGGTATTGTCAGTTCTTGTTGGTTCTCAGTCCACAGAACTTCCTTTAGGATGTTTTGTTGTACAGGGTTGGCTTTGGCAAAATCCCTTAGCTTCTGTTTATCCTGGAATGTTTTGATTACACCATAGTATTTAATTGGTAGCTTTGCTGGATAAAGAATTCTTGCTTGGCAGTTTTTTTTTTATATATATATGTCTCCCCATTGCCTTCTTGCCTGCATGGTTTCTGCTGTGAGATCCAAGCTTAATTTGACTTGCTTGACTTTGTATGTAACACTTTTGTTTAGGGAGTGTCTCCTTATCTTTGATTTTGGAGAGCTGGATTATGATATGTCTCGGTGATTTTCTTTGGGGGTCTCTCCTTCCTGGGGTTTGTTGAGCTTTTTGAATGTTTATCTTTTCACTTTTCAGGATGTTAGAGAAATTTTCTTCCAGCAGTTCTTCAACTATTTCCTCT